CATCTCCTCCTCCTCCTCCTCCTCCTCCTCCTCCTCCTCCTCCTCCTCCTCCAGCCATCAACATGTTCACCTCCTGGAAGGGACCCCCATAATACTCTCATTGAGAGAGAGAGAGAGAGAGCGCAAGCGCGAGAGCACACTTACCTTCACCTTGTTGCCTGTCTCCATCCGCCTGGGCAGGAGCAGCCTGCAATACCTGCAAAACCAACATAAAACTAATCAGAACACAAACCCAGTGCCCTCACCCTACAAGCCCTGCAGTGCTTTTGGGATCTTAGTCACTTTGCAGGTTTGAGTAATAAAAGCCAGAATCTGATGTACTTTGCAGACTACAAAAGCAGAACAAAAATGGCATGTGCCAATTATGTTCCAACACCCATTTCTCTTCAGAAAATCCAGAAAGAGAATGCACCTGAACTGGGAACAGAAACATTTGGAAAAGAGCCAAAATATAGAACTTAACGGGCACTTTTTGCATCTGTTTCAGTGGTGGTCTACAGAATGCCTCTACAAGCAGTATTTCTCAACCATGGCAAATTTAAGATGTGTAGACTTCAACTCCCAGAATTCCCCAGCCAGCAACACATCTTAAAGTTGCCAAGGTTGAGAAACACTGCTCTATAGAATGCCTTCCTCCAAGAGATACTGTATATAGCCGGATTCCATGTCCTTCTGCTTTCAAAAGTGCTGTATACCATACCACCATCTCCACTTTGATTCAATACCCCCATAAGGTGCTAAGCTGGCAAACTCTGGCTTACTTGTCTCTGGCTTTTACCTAAAAGGTTTAATAAACTCTGACTTTTGAAACTGTATTTTAGCTGGCTTACTTCACATTTAAGTTGCTTTCACGATTCACCACTAATGGAGCTGTTTTATAGTAGAAGATACTGTAGAAAGACCTCAATCCTAAAAGGCAACTAAGAAATATACTGAAGCATTGGGGAAATTCAGATTTCCACAGTGAAGCAAAACCCAAGTGATGACATTTCCTACAGTATGTAAGAAAAGTAGATTTAAGCTATTATCATGCTGTAGACTAGGAAGATCATGGGGTACAAATGTGAGAAAGCAAGATCTCAACTCAGTAAGAATCAGTTTAGCTATAAGTTTGCTTTCTGTATGTGGGACAAAAAGGGGAACTAGGGATGTTTTCTCGGACAGCACTCTCGTTTTTCTAGGCAGCAGAAATAGAAATGATCTGCTTTAAGGCATTTATTATTATTAAGATTAGAATCTACAGTACAAACCTGAGGTGGCTGGCAAAAGAGAAAACAACATTGGTGACCTTCTAAAAATGACATGACAAGGAATTTGAATGTCAATTAGTTTCAGATCTCTGAGCTACTCAGCCAAGGTCATTACCCCAGTTTCAGCAGAGAGGAAGAAGCATCAGGCCATCCTGTTAGGATCTGATTTGTAAATTATGGGGTCAGAATCAGCCAGTGGATTTCAAGAGCAGTCCAGCTGGTTCACCAGGCTGTTAGCAAAAGGTAATACAGGCTAAGAATGCAATGTTGCATGTCTAATTGTTTGACTGTGTACCTAAGTCCCTCCTTAACTGGTACCCCCACCTGACTTGGAACTACACTTCCAAGAACTCCCAGCCCACACAGCCACTAACTAGGAACTCCAGGAGTTGGGGAAGACGGATCTATGGGATGGCCCAACGGACAGAATCATCTGGACCTGCAGAGAAGGGAGTCTGGCTGCACACAAGCAACGATGTTCCTTTTTAAAGCTAAGGACAGATTTTCTTTCTCCGGGTGAAGGTCAAAGCAACACCACAAACAAGGTGGGGAAGGTCGAGGCTACACCTGACCTCTGAAACCACCAAGGCCTTCATGGGCTAGCAAGCTGCCATAATCAGTTCTGAGAACAGCCTCCGTTGTGTCTGAAGACGACTCAGACAGGCAGCTCTCTAGTGAGGTGGCAAGTTGCCACAGCTCCCTGTCAAGCAGGTGTCCGCCCACTTCACTAGCATCGCGTAGAGCACGTAGTCTTTATGAGCCAGCAGGCTGTGGCAGGCTGTCCTGGGATTCCTCCATCGGCAGGATGGGACTGTGGCAAGCACGCTGCCCGCAACTGCCCTGACTGAGCAACCAAGCACACAGCCCAGCCATAACTCAGTCAGGACCCTGGGAAGGAGCAACCTCTGGCTTTCTTTAATTCTTCAAAGCCCTGCTTGGGTCCTGCAGCATCAGTTACAAACTGTTCCTTACTTCTGATCTAAAGTTGCCCCTGAGGTACTTCTTGCTTCTTCTCCTCCAAAACAGCTTTCTCTTTCTCTGTCTCTCAATGCAAGGGGGAAAACATCATTTAGGAAGGGGACCTGAAAAATCACTAGAAGGGATTCCAGACAGCAAACAGGGATTTGCTGCGGTCTGTGTCCATTCCCCCCCCCCGCCCCCTTCCTTTCTCTTTCAAAGTACGTATCAAGGCTAGACTGCTATCTCCTGATTAGCAGAAACTGGAAGCCACATGTCCACCAATCACACAACAAAAAAGAACCCCATTAGCCATCATGTACAATCTATTCACGCCGTTGCTCATGCCATTTGCCTTTGAATCTAGGAGCTATTTATACAGCAGAGTCACCTTGAATCCATTTGAGAAATCCGAAGGTTCTTCTCTGTTCCTGTGCTGATGAATTACATTTTCTCTGGCCAATGCTAACAGGCTCCCTTAACCAAAGCATCAGTACTTAAATGGAGGATTTAAATGTTCCCCCTTTTCCCATCAAAGAAAGGACAAAACAAACTTTTTCCCCCAAGGGACAAGTGCCCTTTTGAAGGTCACACTGGTTCTACTCATCTCTTTTCCTGGCCTGGGGATTTACTCATTGTTTCCCCATTAAGACACCTAATTGTCTCATGTTAGCTTTTTCAGCAACATAGACAGTAGAAGAAATATTTCCTTTAAGACCTGAGCAACAGTAGGTTGGCAGGGGGCAGGCAACTCTGTTCTTACATTCTACTCATCCCAATATGAAGTAAGGAAAAGGTTAACTTAATAAATTGCTTCTACACACACACTTCCTATTCCTTCACATCAAAACGACTCTTTCTCTAGCTTTCTCCTCCCCCTCCCCCTAATCTCAGCAGCCTCATTAAAAGAGCTTTGTAACTGTTTTGGACTGGAGAAAACAATCCAGCCACTTTGGGAGGGCCCCTGGGACTAGAGGTAAAAACCCATGCCATTTTAGGTGTGAGGGGGAAAAAAGTCTCCTTTAATGTTTTCTACTTAAATGCTGCAGTTTTTCCCTGCTGTGCACTCAAAGGAGAAAGAAAATGCTACCGAACAGAGGGAACAAGTTCAGAAAACAACTAGGATATACTGAAGAGGTTTGCAACACCTACTTTGCACTGGGAAAAATTATTTTGGGAGTGTTTTCTACCTTCAGTTGCAAAGTTAAAAGGAGGAAGGTGATCCACTGTGTTCCCTCAGAAGAAGAAGCTGAGTGGTAAGCAGTAAGTAGCCCCAGTGTGGCCTGAGCAAAAGGCTGATGGCTGTGAGATCATTAGCAGTCTGGTCACACGCTCTTGTTCCCACCCTGACTGTTTGATCTTTGCTTGATCCTACCAGAAAGATATCTTGGGAGGGAGCCCTAGGACCTGCTCACTGCAACAAACTAACATCACATCGATTACATCAGGTAATACTGAAAGGGAACTATATATTGCCAAGGTAGCAAAATTAAAGGCAGGTAGATTTTGTCTTGGATCTTCAGTCAATGGTCTTTTCACCCATGGGTCTTCTCACCATAAACACATGCTTCACTCCAAGAGTAACACTTTCAAAAGTGATTAATCACTGGGGGGCACTGCACTATTATTATAGCCAGCAGATGAACTGTAAGAGGAAACCAGTGCCTGCATTTCCTTCACCTGAGTTGTGGGTTCACAATTTACATTACGCCGTGAGGTGGTTTGTTTGGCTTCGACTGGTTGCTTTGGGAATCCAGCCATTATGATGTGTCAACCCTGATTTAAAACTTTTCATAACATATAAACCAAGTTAACTATGGCTTATTCAACAAATCAAGGCTGAATGATATATTAATATGGATTAGCAGTCCCTAATAACTTATATTATTAATGCTATCTCACCTTCAGCAAAAGATGGCACTTCTCCTCCACATTCCCTTAAAGTGCCATACTGCACAGAATAATTTAATTCTCTTCTCACCAACAGTTTTTCCCTCCATGTATCCGGTATGGGATAAGCATGTTTATTCAAAACCATTGGGGTCAAAAGGTGTGATGTGAATGTATTTGTTTCCTGCTCCCCACAGATTCACACTTCATCTAGCCTGCTTTGGCTAGATAGTATTTAAGACTACGGCACCTAGCAATTTACCTAAGTGACTGTAGGATCCTAAGAGTTGAGCATCATCTCTCTATTTATTTGGGAAAAGAAGTAATCTACATTTCTGATTATTCCATCTACTCTCCCTCTCTGTTCTTTTCTTGTACTCTATTTTTATTTGTCCTGCAGTACTTCATGCATAAACCAGATTTCTCAGTCTAGTGGCATCCAGACACACTAGATTAAATCTCCTATCACTGGCCAGATTGTTTAGGATGACAGAATCTATAAAACCAGGCTGGGTAAGTTTGGTAAAACTGTATAACCTGAGGATGACTTTTAAAAGCAAGCAGAGCCATCTCAGATTAGCCTATTTCCAAGTTTTCCCCAAAGAACACCTCCTATCCTGCATAGATGAACATGCTGCTGTCACTCACACCAAAACAGGACTTGAACAAATTAGCTTAGAAAGCTTGTGACATCTGGCCAGACTCATCTGGAATGGCTCTTGTATGTTATCTTACATTTATGGCTGAAGAAAAGGCGACAACTATTTCTCTTCTGCAGTCTTGTTTAGCCTGATGCCACCAGGTGACTTACTGGCTGGAGATGAGAAGACTTTTGGTCCAAGATTTCTGAAAAGCTGGCAGACACCCGTGCCTGCATTTGAAGTGGGGGGTGTTCTAAAGCTGCACTTCTCTCCCCTAAGTTTCCCAAGGGAAACAACCATGGAAAATTAACCTGCTTCCCCTCTCTTTTGTGAAGTGTATAATCTACCTAGCAGCTAAACCCAAGCAAACAACCATCCAGCTTATTTAATTCCTTTAAGGAGCAAGTCAAAAGCTCCTGCTAGTGGGGTCTGCGGGTAATGGCCTATACTTTCATAATAAGGAAACTAATAAAGATGAGGGAAGTTTAGGAGCAGGAAACAGTTTACAGAAGAAACTCTTATTTATGGAAACTCAGCAGGGTCGTCCTGTCTGAAAATCAATCTGGAAGAGCCACAGAATTCATTCTGCGGTCTTTGATCTCTGTTTGCTTTTGCAAGCCAGGAATTTTGAACTCCGGTCAGTAAACCTGCCTAACTAAAGCAAACAGGCCAAAAACACCGCTTTTGCAATGTCAGGAGGAGCAGGGGGAGGGAGAGAGCAGCGTGTGCGCTGCTGATGCAAGAAGTCAGCCAGCGCGCTGCCTACATGCTCTGACCGATGACGATGCAGAGACGTGCCTCTTCCGTAGGGCGTCCTTCAAAAACCAGGTTTCCAACTACTAAGCTCCCCAGACAGAGGGGGAAGGAAACCTAGTCGGAACAGTCTAGGCAACGTGCAAGAAGGAAACCAGACCTGTCGGGGGTGGGCGACAGCTTCTGGTCTACTTCCCTCTTTTTCCAGCTCTGCGATCGCACGCGCAGGCCCCACGCGGGCGGTGCAGTCAGCTTAAACGCCATAACGCAGGCTTTGCTTGCTCGCCTTCGGCGCAAAGGGCCCGGTGGCCAGCCTTTTGTCGGCGGTCCCGAAGGACGCCGAGCAGAGGTAGCCGCGTGCCCTCACAAGGTCAACCAAATACACGCAGCTACGCGCGGGCACCCCGGACGATGGTCGGGCGCCTCTGGATCTCCTCCCGACGCGTGTGGGCTCCCTTTGGACCCAGCTATCACCTCGCGCCCGTCACGCACGTTCAGCGTAACATGCGGCGAACAGGCCATGCGGGGGGGGGGTGTGGGAGATCGGAAGAGCGGTG